GGGCCCTTTCCCCCCCCCCCCTTGGGTCTACTTGCCGCCCCGTGCAGGTTTCCCCCTTGGTTCCCCCCCCTTCCCCCCCCCTTCCAGAGGGGTCGCTGCTTTGGGCGGCGCCGCGCCATTCGCCGGAGGGCGGGGCCTCAGCGCCCCGCCCCCCCTCTCCCGTGATTGTGACGTCGTTTGGCCTCTGGCCTCATACACCCTCCCCTCCCCTCTCCTCCCTCTCCGCTCTCCCTCCTCCCGCTCCGGCCCTCTCTCCCCTCCCCTCCCCCTCTGTGGTTGCCCTCCCATGCCTGCCGTTCGCGCTGAGGCGGCTCTAGCGCTGCCCCTGGAGGAGTCGCCCTGTTGTGCGGCGCAGCGAACACCTGCGCCTGCCCGCGGCCCTCGTTTGTGCTGGCGTCCTGAAGCGCCCGAGAGTGCGTAGATTTGTTGCGATACGCGGTGTGCGATCGCGGTGTGCAGATTCATGTATAAAACGGAAGACATTTTCGCCGCACGCAGCAGCCACAAGCACACGGATTGAAGATCCCTCACACCAAGATCGTGCAGGGCGGGGACACATGTCCCTAAATCCCATCTCGTCTCAGAGTTTGACCGTTTTTATTTATTTATTTAAGCACACGCACAGGACCTCAGTCGCTCGAACTCGGAGCTGCGCGGCGCGCCGATGGCTGTGGCCTGTGCGCATGGAGCCGCACGCCCGCGCCCGGCGGCGGCGCGCACGCACAAGGCCGATACTGAGAGCCGTATGGTCGGCAAGTCGCATCCGACTTCCGAGGCAATCGTCCCGGGAGACGAGAGTCCAGTGGCGGGCGCGGCACACCCACCTCGCACTGTCACAGCGCGCATGTGAGATGAGTTCGCGAGCAGCTACACTCGCCGGATAATCTCTTGCCGCCGCTCCATGTGCGATGACGTACGAGAGGGAACGCAGACAGACGTGTTCGGAGAGGAAGGGGGGGGGGGTACCAGAGGAGCAGAGCTTACGGCTCGACGGCAGGGCGCAGGCGCGCGGCTCAGGCGGATCGCATGCTCTGCATCTGCGCCATCGCGTCGTCGAGCAGCTTCTGGTTGAGCCACGTGTCGAACTCCGCGTCGCTCTTGCGGAGCTCGGAGAGGAACTCGTCGCCGCCGCCCTGACAAGAGGCGGAGGGCGGGGCTGGGCTGGCGTGTGCGCGCGAGGGAGAGCAGGAGTGGGGGAGGGTCCGCTAGAGCAAGTGTGGGGTGGGGGTGGGGTGTGTGTGTGTGTGGGGGGGGGTGGAGAGAGAGAACGGCGGAGGCGCCTCGAGCATCGCGTGCTTGACCTCCGGCTCCGTCGCCTGGGCAGCGAAGAGCTCGACGAGGAAACTCACCGCCGCCTGCTTGAGTTTCCGCGACGCCTCGTCGTTCTGCAGCAGCGACACCACCTCCCGCACGGTGCGCGACTCAGCCACAACCATCTGGCGGGTGTAGGCGTTGTGCGCCCACTGCTGCAGCAGCCGCAGCGCCCTCGCAGAGACCTTGTGGTCGCGGTACTCGAGGGCGATGGTGGCGAGGCCGACACCCCCCGCGGCGCACGCAAGCGAGGCCTTGTCGCTGAGCGGCACCAGCGCCTACGAGCTTGAACCAAGCACTCAGCAAATGCATCAAAGCGCACCCTCGCCCTATCGGCGCCGCACGTCGAAGACATGGATCGCGTGCAGGAGCGTCTCTTGCCACAAGCCCTTCATCTCTTCGATGAAGTCAAATTTCCTCTCGATGTCGCGCCGCAACCGGTCAACCTCTTCCACTAGCTCCATGCCGTGCTCCCTCTCCTCCGCACTCATCGTTGCGAGCCTTTCCTCGGTCATGCCCCGCGCCATCTCTCGAGCCTTGCTGTGATTCTGCCGCTGCTTGTCAACCAACTCCTGTGTGTTGGTCCACTCATCGGCATAGTACTGGTTGACCTGCGTCACGAACTTTGCGCCGCCCGCCCGCAGCATCATCTCATCAACCGCCCGATCGTTAAGGCCCGAGAGCCTACTCGTGAGAAGCTGCAGCTAGGTCTCATGGCGCTCGAGAGAGTGCCGAAGAGGAGCCTGCGCGCCGTTCGAGCAGCATAGTGCCACAGTGTGGAACTTCCGAGATCTCGCCTACAGTCGTGTCGCGATCGGCGTCACCGCACAACTAGCGCGGTCACTACAGCGGGCAGCCAAGCGATCTTCCAAGCACCGATCTGGATGTGAGCCCGCCCGACGCGCACCGCGGTCGCCACCCCACCGGCGTCGCACATGGCCAGCAGACCCTCGTCGTCCAGCCCCGTCCCGTCCTCCAAGTCCATCCCGTGCCAGAGCACCGTGGCGGCGAGTGTCTGGCAAAGGAGGAGGAGCGTAAGGGGCCTTTGGTGGTGGTGGTGGTGGTGGTGGGGGAGGGGGGGGAGGACCTCGTCCATCGCCCCGTACTCCGCCAGCAGACCGGCGACGAGGCGGCCAGCGTCGGCAGACGGCAGTTTGGAGATGTGGCGGAGGTCCGCAATCTCCACCCGCTTGTTGCACCGCGCCTTGTGGTTGCCGCCGTCGGCGCGCCAGTGCTGCCGCTGGCACTCCTTGGAGCAGTACGCCACCCGCTGGCACTTGCCGCACCGGGAGAGGGCGCGTGACGGAGCGGCGAGCGTGCCGCACCAGGCGCACGCGTCGCACTTGACCGACTCCTGCGGTGGAGTGGTGGTGGTGGTGTGTGGTGGTGGTGGTGTGTGGTGGTGGTGGTGGTGGTGGTGGTGGTGGTGGTCGTGTGTGTGTGTGTGTGTGTGTGTGTGTGTGTGTGTGTGTGTGTGTGTGTGTGTGTGTGTGTGTGTGTGTGTGTGTGTGTGTGTGTGTGTGTGTGTGTGTGTGTTTTGGGGGGGAGCGGAGGGGACGGCGAAGGCGTGGCGGGGGGGGGGGGGTGGAGGCGACCTCGACAAGGACAGTGTCCTCCGAGAGGGCGTCATCGAACGAGTCGTTCGAGAGAAACGCCGCCTCGCGTGCCGCGGCTGCGAGGCGCTCCTCCTCGCAGGCTGCATTCGACGCATCGACGGCCTCTTGCAGCTTGAGTGAGCTGAAGCGGCGCCTCGCCAGCACCTGGGGACAGAGAGGGGGACAGAGAGGGGGTTGAGGGGAGGGGAGGGGAGGGGGGGTGAGCGGAGAGAAGCGGCCTTTGGAAGGAACGGGCGCCAAGGGTCGAGGTCAAGGGGAGAAGAACACGTATGGGGCAGGGCGCCCGGTGTGCAAACAGAGAAGAGGAGAGAGCACAGGAAGAGCGCGCCTGCTGCAGCGAGGAGAGCAGCTGCGAGCAGCCCTGCACCCCGCGCCTGGCGAGGAGGGACTCGAGCGGCGCTCGCTCCATGGTGAGGGCCGTGTACATCTTGTCGGCGTCCGCGAGCTGCATCTCGGTCAGCGCGCGCAGGACCGCCGCTCGGCTCGCCACCGCCCCCTCTCGCATCTCTGCCGGAAGGCCCTCGATCGCCTCGGCCAGGATGAAGCCAAACTCGCCACACTCGACAATCTCGCCGGCGAGCTCGCACGTCAGCCCCTCCGCCTCTGCCGCCGCCCCGGCACCCCCCGCCGCCGCCCCGGCACCCTCCACCGCGCCTCCGCCCGCCGCCGCCTCCGCCTCCCGGGGCAGCCCGGCCGCGCCGCCGCCCCCCTTCTTCTTCTTCTTCCTCTTCTTCTTCTTGTCGCCCGAGCCCGCAACCGCCGCCGCCCCCGCAACCCCATCGTCCTCCGCCGCCGCCTCCATCTCCGCCGCCGCCTCCATCTCCGCCGCTGCCAACGCGGCTGCCTCCGCCTCCGCCTCCGCCTTCTCCGCCTCCGCCGCCGCCAGCGCGGCCTCCACCTCCGCCGTCATCTGCGCCATCGCCGCTGCCGCCTCCGTCGCCGCCGCTGCCTCTGCCGCATCGCCCTCATCCGCGACCGCGAACACTCGGACAAGATGCTCAATCAGCTCGAGGGGAATGCCGACGTTTGCGAGGATTTTCACGATTTTTCTGCGCGAACTCTGGCTGGAGAGAAGCTGGCGCATCGACTCGGCGTCCACAACTTCGTAGTGCTCAAGCGCGCACAGGAAGTCCGGCTTTTGTGCATCGGCTTGCGCAATCAGGTCGGTCGACGGCAGCTGGCTGATGGCATCGGAGAGGAGGACGTGGAACTCCCCCATGGCAGAGAGCATCGGCGACCCCTCGCGAAACGCCTCGAGCACGCTCGCCCTCTCCTCCCGCGTGACTGCAAGCTTGAGCGCCTCCTCCAGCTCTCCATACTTGATGTAGTGTTCCATCCTCTCCAGCCGCGTCGCCTGCTCGTCGGCACATCGCTCCTCCGTGGCTGTTTTCTCCTCCTCCAGCTCCTCCGGCTCCTCCGACTCCGTCTCCGAGCCCCCCTCCTTGCCCGCCCCCCCAAGAGGCGGCTCCACCTCGACCTCCACCTCGGTCTCCGACTCTTCTGCGTCCGACTCTCCGCCCGACCCTGCCTCGCCTCCGGCACCGTCGGCGCGCTCCAGCGCGCCCTCGGCGTGGCTCACCGCCTCAAGCGCCTCCTCCTCCTCCTGGAGACGCCCCTCCTCTTCATCGAGCAGCCGCCGCGCCGCCGCCTCTGCCGCCGCCTCTGCCGCCGCCGAGGCGGCGGCCAGGTCGCGCACCGATCTTGAGTAGAGCGCTACTTCCTCGGAGAAATCCCGTGCTGCCGTTTCGGCCTTGATGGCCATCTCCGCCAGATCCTCTCGCCATTTGACAGCGGCATCGAGCCTGGCACGTGCCTCGCTCTCCTCCTCCGCTGCAACGCTGAGCAGTCTCTCGATCTTCTCCCTCCTGGCCTGCAGAGCGGAGGCCTGCTCGACAAGCTTCTCTTGCTCTGCGCGAGCCTCCTCGAGGTGGCGCCGCGCAGCCGCCGCGTCCTCCGTCGCGTCTGAATTGCTCATATGAGTGCTTTGGCTGGCCAACGCGCCAGCCGCAGTTTTTCTTTTTCTCATTACTCATTTTTCTCGCTACCGCGTCGTTGGTGTCCAGTCCGAGCCTGGCTGTTCTTCACCTTCCTACCTAACCTAACCTCGCTGTTCCGGGTTACAGAGATTTTTAGCAATACCTGCAGTCCTGCACGTCTCGCGCGCGCGTGAACAGGGCAAACTTTAAACCACCATAAAGATCTATCTGCAGGGGCTCCAGGCTACCTGCAAATAGAACAAACTCGGCATACTGAGCTGGTCCGCCGGGTCTCAACTCTCCTAACTCTACCATGATCGGCACAATCATGAAGACATGAGACACACTCATCCCTTCTCTCGCTTCTCTGTGATCTCTCCTCCTGCTGCTCTCTCCTCACACCACAGTCACGCGCCCCCCGCCACTCACGCTCTCTCTCCCTCCCGCCGTCCGCGGCGCGTACCAGCCCCTGCCAGCCCCTACCACGCGCCGGAGAAGAGCAGCTCCGGCAGCGGCGTGAAGAGGATCGGCGTCTGGTCGACGACGGGCACGCCCCACAGCGCCTAAGTCAGGGAGGACATGTGTGGCTGTCCAAATCGTGGCTCGGCTGTGCGTTCGCCTCCCTCCCTCTCTCTCTTGCTTTGCCTCTTGGAAGGCGTAGCCGGTGATCGCGAGCATGGCGAGGCGGCCGTTCTTGATCTCGGCCGCCTCCATCACCCTCCGGTGGTACACGAGCCAGTCCAGCCGGTACTCGTCGTCCACGGCGGCGCGCGCCTCGACCAGTGGAGGCATCAGCCGGCCCCAAAAGTCATACAGCGAGAGCGGGTCAAAGCCTGCGCTCCACGAGGCACCGGGGGGGGGGGGGGGGGCGACTGAATGCGGCACCTCGCAGAGGGAGTAGACTCCGTGGAGGGAGGCGGCTGCCACACAGCGGAATGGAGCCGTGCCTCCGCGACAGCCGATCGGAGCACCGCTGCTGTCTGTTGCATGCTCCGCTGCTGTCTGTCGCATTGCTCTGCTGCCTTTCGCATCTACAAGGGCCGGGCCGAGGTCGCCCGGAGAGTAGGTCAGCTCAACTGGCTGGCCGGCCCTGAGCGTGCGCCCCGTCGCCGTGAGGCCGTGCACCTGCCGCGAGGTTGCCGGAGGGGGCGGGAGATCTCAGCCTGCGGTGGCGTGCTGCTGCGGCAGTGGCGTCCGCCCCTCTGCCACCTGGTCGAGAGTTCTGCACTCGAGGTAGCTGGCGAAGAGGACGGCGAGGACCAGGAGGGGCGCAGACTCGGCCAGGTTCCCGTTGAGGAGCGACGGCGCGCGACCCTGCGTCGGGTCTAGCCCAAACGGAAGCCCTGCTGCGCCGGCGAGCGGGCCGTGATACAGCTCCGAGAGTGGCCAGCCGGCCGCGGCGAGCATCGCGATGCGGGAGTGCTTGATCTCTGCCTCTCGCATCCAGGCGACCCGCCGGTGCGCCGTCGCTGCGCCGGCCAGCTCCCACCACGGCCCCTCCCTCTCGACAAATTTGAGAGGGTCGAAGCCGACATCAGCGGCGTACGTCTCGTCGAGGTACAAAGGCCGGCGGAGGAATGGGATCCAGTTCTTTGTCGGCGGTGTCGTCAGGCCGGGCAACGAGGCGTGCAGCAGCAGCAGCATCGTTGAACGCAGCTGAAATCAGCAGCGCTTGTCGTCAGATGCGCGGGTGGCCTTGCAAATAGTACATGTGGGGACCCTGTCCTCCTCCCCCATCCCTTTTGCTTGTCTTTTTCTTTCTCTTTCCTCTGCCAGAGTTCATTCTATCGGAAAAGAAAAACTTGCCCACCCGCGAAACGCACGTCCCTTTGAACCCTCCGTCTGCGCCGGGCACGATGATATCGGCCGCTCCCAGCGCCGCCGGCACGGCACGGCTGGTTGCCGCACTCGCAACGGCCGCCGTGCTCCTCGCCGCCGCCAGCCTGCTCGCTCAGCGCCAGCGGGCAGGCGCGATCCTCAACGGGAGGATTGCCGACGAGAGCCTTTACCAGAGCTACGTCTCCGTTCGTGAGGTTGTGGAGGAGGCGAGCGAGGGCAGCACCCTCGCGGCGATGGGCTCCGCCGGGACGGAGCAAAACTGCTGCGGCGGCGCCCTCGTCGCCCCAAACTGGATCCTGACCGCCGCGCACTGCCACAGCTGCTGGGAGGGCAGGTTCCCCTTCAAACGAGCAATCAATGGGGGGGTCGAGGCTATACCAGTCGACCCCGCCGCCGAGCCCGTCAAGGTGAAGGTTGCACTCGACAAGGACGGGCACTACGGGGGCACCCTCACCGTTGTTGAGGCGTACGAGCCCGAATGGGTGAGAGCTTGCTCGCCTCTAGCGAGCTCACTCAGACGCACGGGAGCCAACTCACACACCGCGGTGTCGCCTCCTTCCCTCCCTAGATTGGGCCTGAGCGGATGGATGCGGCGCTGCTGAAGCTCGACGGCGATGCGACGGCCTATGGCGCCGAGGTCGTCACCTTCTTTCCCGGCCCGATTGAGGCAGGTATGGAGACGGTGACTGTGGGGACCTCGCACGACCTGCCGGCAAACACGCCTGGCATCCCCGGTGCGACCATGAGAGGTCGGCCCGGGCAAGCCTTCGCCCCGTCCTCACGCGGCCGCACCCGCCGCACCAGGCACACCCCTCAAGTACTACGCCTCGACTGTCGTTGCGGCACGCTCGCTCATCTCGTGGCACACGCACTGCGAGGGGTTCAACCGTGGTGATTACTCGCCGGTGCACGACTTTTGCGTCGGCCCGCCGGTGAAGACCGAGCTGGGAGGCACCCTGCCCGGCGACGATCTGGTGGAGGGCGCGCGCACCGGGTACGGAGACTCTGGAGGGCCGCTCTACATTGGAGGCAAGTACGCTGGCATCGTCAAGGGCGGCGTCAAGGCGAGCCCCATCACGGGTGTCAACGACGTTGACAACGCGGAGACCGCCTACATTCGCTACACGGATGTCACCTTCCTGGCCCCGTGGATTGACCGCACGATCACGGCGAGCGAGCTCGCGGCGGTGTTTTGCAAGGTGCCATTTCTTTGCTGAACTTATTGAGTTGCAGAGCATGCAGGGCCGTCGTGGCTGGTGAGCATGCTGGTGAGCGAGAGCCGAGACGACGATTCGACGATTTCTCGTGACTCGTCGCCGTGACGGGACGCAACGAGCCCATTGGCGAGAGGCCCCTCTAGAGAGATATGGGCGCTGTGGCCTCATGCCTTGACACCGGGCCAGTGCTTGCACTTTGAATGCCGTGGGGCTCCTGCCCGTGTACGGGTGTGGAGATGTGCGAGGATCGGCGATCGCCCCCCCTTGCCCCACCATTTGTGTGTGTGGAGAAATTTACCTTACCTTACCTTACCTTGACTCATGGCCCCGCGCCGCGCGCTGGGCTGCGGCAAAACAAATGAGTTTTGTATATACACCTACCGTTCTCCCATGAAATAGTACTTAGCACTGGCTCGCTACACCGGCCGCAGCTCCGCGTCCCCCAAGAGCGTCGACTCGTGGTCCGGCACCGCCGCCGCCCCGCCTCTGAGGCCGAGCCAGGGCGGCATGAGGCGGCGGAGCAGGGCTTGCCCGTGCCGCTGCGCGCCGCCGCCCGGCCAGCGGCTCGCCCCCTCGCCGAGCGCCCCCTCGCGCGGCGGCCGGCCCGAGTGCGCCCGCAGCACGAGCCAGCGCGTGAGTGCGGGCAGGTTGAGCCCGTCGGTCGCCGACACGCCCAGGACGGACCAGGACTGCTCCGTGACGCAATCGAGGTTGAGGAGGCGGCTGAGCGGCGCCCAGCCGAGCCGCTCGAGCTCCGCGCGGTCGCGCGGCTGCAGCGTGTCGCACTTGCTCGCCACCACCAGCAGAGGCAGGCCGCGCAGCCGCGGGTCGTCGAGCAGCATGTGCAGCGCCTGTGCGAGGGCGGGGAGGCCGGCCGGTGGAGTGTTCGCGCGGCGAGGCGGCGGTCCCGGTCGTCGACGTCTGCGGCGGCGCGCCTGCCGCGCCTCGGCGAGGCGGTCGCGGTCGGAGACGTCGATCAGGAAGAGGAGCGCGTCGCAGCCTGAGACGTGCCGCGCCCAGTCAAAACGGAAGCGCTGCCGGCCGCCCAGGTCCCATAGCGAGAGGTCGAGCCCGCTGTGCTGCACGCGCTGCACGACGAGGCCGATGGTCGGCTTGAGCGACGGCGCGGCGGCGAGCGGAGGCTCGGCCGCCAGCGCCCGAGCGAGAGCGGACTTGCCGCTCCCGTCGAGGCCCGCGAGCGCCACCTCGAGGCGCGAGCGGAGCAGCCAGCGAGATATGAGCCGCTGCACGACCGGCTGGGCCTCGCGAGCGACGGCGTTGCCCATCTCGTAGCCGGTTCACTCGCTTCTGGGCTGTAGCCTACCGCGTGCCGGGTACCCGGTACGCCGTCCTCAGCGCATGGAAGAGATGAACATGAAAAATAATATATGACAGAAGGAAGGAAGAGAGAGAGGAAAGTGATGGTGGATGGGAAGTGGATTGGTGTGGTGTGGAAATGGAGGTGGATAGAAGGGGGTGTTGAGAGAGAGATGGATGGGATGATGAATAAGGAAGGAGATGAAATTTATCTAGAGAATGTGAAGGGGGATGGGATGGGAAGTGGAATGGTGTGGAGATGGAGGTGGGATGGTATATCGGAAAGATTTTTGTTTCTTTTGGGGGGGGACATGTCCTATCCTGGACAGCTGGACCGGTGCCTCGATGTCACCGCTCGAGCAAATCAGCCTCATCTCGTCCGACGAGGAGAGCGAGGCTCCGCCACCAGCGGCCGCAAGGGCAAAGCGGAGCGCGGCGGCGCGGGCGGCGCCCTCCTCTCCTCCACCCTCCCGAAAGGCACGCAAGACCGACGCCCGCAAGGATCCGGCACCCAACGCCGAGAACCCGCCGGCCGCGCCGGCCGCGGCCGCGGCACGCCCTGCGCCGTCGGCCAGCCAGCGCGCGTCCTACCTCCAGGCGCGCGAGGCAAAGCTCAAGGCGTGCCGCTTCAACCTCTCCGCCCTCCCCGCCGGCAAGCGCGTGCACGACACCTCGCGAACCATCAAGAAGCCGACGCCGGCGTGGGCGGGCTTCTGGCCGGCGCTGCGCGAGTTCATGCAAAACACGATCGACCACCTCGACCTGGCGCCGCGCGGCCGGCTGCATCCGGCGCTGTCGCTGCGCGTCGAGCGGCCGGCCGGCCAGCGCGGCACCCTCGCCTCCATCGCCTTTCGTTGCGGCGACGAGCCGGTCTGCGCCATCGAGGTGGAGGAGGACGAGCTGCGGATCCTGCAGCACTACACCTTCCCGCTGCACCCGCGTGCGCTCGAGACGGGCGTGCCCGACGCTGGCAAGGGCGGCGACGCGACCGCGGGCGGCTTTGGCGACGGCTTCAAGACGGCGGCGGCGGCGCTGCTCGGCCAGCCCGCCTGCCGCTCCATCAGCTGGACCTTTGAGACGGCAGAGGGGCGCACCGTGCGCTGGGACTTTGTCGGCGCCGAGCGGCCCGCGGTCGGCAACTTTCGCGCGTCGCGGGTGCTCGAGGTTCACGTCACTGCCGACGCCGCGCCGGCCGGCGCGGCATCGAGCCGCGCAGGCGGCGCAGCCTACGTGATGAGGCAGCGCGTCCGCGTCGGCGGCATCGGCCGCGCGTTCCTCGCCGAGGCGGCGCCGCGGCTGCAGGTCTTCTGGTCGCTGCCCGACGCGGTGCTGCTCGGCAACGGCCGGCAGGGCGACTTCCTCGCCGACGCGGCGGCGGCGCCGCCAATCTTTGACGGATCCTCCGCCTCCCCCTCCTCCGCCTCCGCCTCCTCCTCCTCCTCCTCCACCTCCTCCTCCGCCTCCTCCGCCTCCCCCTCCTCCGCCTCCTCCTCCGCCTCCGCCGCCGCCGCCTCCGCCTCCGCCTCCGCCTCCGCCTCCGCCGCCGCCTCCGCCGCGCCGCCCGCCGCCGCCTCCGCCGCGCCGCCCGCCGCCCGCCCCGTGGCCGGCGTGTACGTGCGCGGGATCTGGGTGCGCAAGCCGCTCATCGAGGGCGCCATCATGGCCTTCTGGTCCAAGCTCAACGTCTCCTCGCGCGACCGCAACGACGTCGACGCCGAGGAGTGCGCCGACGCGACGCTCGCGGTGCTGCGCGACGCGGCGAGGTCCGAGGCGGGCAAGGCGGCGCTGCGCCGCCTGCTCGCGCCGCTGCAGGGCAAGAAGGCCGGCTCCTCGGCCTCGGGCGGCGGCTCATGGCTGCTCCGGACGCCGCGCTTCACCAACCGGCTGCTCGAGGCGCACCGGCCCTTCTTCCTCGGCGCGCTCGGCGTGCCGGCGGGCGCGCTCTTCGCCTCGAGGCGGACGACCGAGAGCGGCGACCCGTTCCTCAAGTGGGCGGCGGCCTTCCTCGCGCGGCGGGGTGCGCCGCTGCTGCCCCTCGAGCCGGGCGCGTCCAAGGCGCTCTTCAGCGAGGCGTCGGAGGACGAGCTGCAGGAGCGGTGCGTCAAGGAGCTGCTCGCCGAGCTCAAGAAGGCGCCCGCCGCAAGGACGGACGCGCAGCAGGCCGCCGCCAAGCTGCTCGCCTTTGTCGGCGCCGAGTCGCGGTCGCTGCGCCTCCACTTCTCCGCCCTCGTCGCCGTCCCGTTTGCGCACGGCGCGCACGTCTTCATGCCCGCCACGGCGCTCGACCGCGGGCTCCTGCTCCGCCTGCTCGCGACGCTGCAGAAGCGGCTCGGCCGCTTCGACGACAAGTGCGTGCACGCCACGCAGGCCTTCTTCGAGACGCTGCCCGCGCACGGCGGCCTCTCCCTCCCGCAGCTCGACGCCGCGCTCAGCCGGGCGAAGCAGGTTGGCGTCGAGAGCCGCGCCTTCGAGAGGCGCCTCGAGGTGGGCGGCGGAGGAGGCGCGGCGGCGGCGCCCGCGGCGGCGGCGCCCGCGGCCGCAGGGCCGAGCCGGGGCGGCGGGCAGCCTCCTCCCGTCATCTCGCTCGACGACGACGGCGCGGCGGGCGGCGCGGCGGACAGGCGCGGCGGCGGCGGGACGGCGGGCGGAGAGGAGTCGCGCCGCGCCCTCGAGAGGCAGATCGCGGCGGCGGCGAGGCAGCGGCAGACCCTCCGGGCGGGGCACATCCTTCCGGCCGCCGCCTTTGCAGACGAGGCGAACGAGTCGGAGGAGAAGTGCCTGCGCGGAGGCCACGACGCCCTCAAGGCGGTGGCGGCGCACGACTCCGTCGGCGGCGGCGAGGTGTACTCCGACGTGGCCTCCGCCGCGCACCTGGCCGCCGGCACGCTTCCCAAGGCGGCGCAGCTAAAGGCGCTCCGCGCGCACCTCGAGCAGGCCAAGCGCACGCTCGCCGCTGCGCTCCCGTCGCTCGGCTCGCTGCTCGAAGGGACGGTCAAGGCGGGCTTCGACGTGGGCGGTGCCTACCTCGGCTTCTGCTCCGAGCGCGCCATCGTCGTGAACCTCGCGCCGCTGCTGCGCCGCTGGAACGAGGCGGGCACGCCCGTGGAGCTGCTCCTCACCCTCGCTCACGAGGCGGCGCACCTCCTCAGCAGGGGCGGCGCGCACGACAGCGCGTGGCGGCAGACCTACGACGAGCTCATCCAGGCCGCCATCGTCGCCGGAGTCGGCCCGGCGCCCGGCGCATTCGCTGGCGTCGGGCGGAGGGCCTGACCTTCGCGGCCGGACGAGCATCGAGCGAATTTTGTTTCGCTTTGTTTCGCTCGAAAAGAAAGAAAGAAAACAGAGAACCCAAGGGAGGGATGGGAGGACGGCACGTTTCGTAAAATAAATAAATACAACGGACACGGCACGTTTCGCTCGAAATGGTCGAGTTTTACAGGATTTTTTCCACCCAGGCGCCGGACTAAATTGGACCTAGCTTGCTTGGGGGTCTCGCGGTGATCAAAGCTGCTCAGCCTCAAACAGCTGCGGCTACACTTCACGGCTACACTTCACTCCAGCTTTCCCATGGCTGCTCCCGCCGCCTCCACCAGCATCGACCCGTACCGGGTCCTCAAGGTCGACCGAGACGCTGCGCAGGAGGAGATCTCCAAGTCGCTGCGACTTCTCGAGCTCCGCCTGCACCCGGACCGCAACCTCGACGCGTCTGACGAGCAGCTGGCCGCCAACAAGGCGCGGCGCGAGACCGTGCGAAAGGCGTATGCGCTGATCGGCACCGAGGCCAAGCGGCAGGAGTACGACGAGAAGTGGGCCAAGGCGCATCCGGACAAGGCGGCAAGCGGGCAGCTCCTTGCTGGCCCGGCGCTGCCTGCGAGCCTCGGCGAGGGCACCGCCAAAGCTGCACGCCCTGCCGTCGTCGTGAGCAGCCTCGTCGCCACCATCGTGCTGCTGCTCGTGCCCGTGTGGCCCGTGGCGCGCGTGCTTGTTGCGCACACTGGAGCGCCGCTGGCGTGCGTGCTGCCTCTCCTCTCCGCCGCGGTCCTCTTCCTGGCGAGCACGACGCCGACCGCAGAGCTGTCGGACAGGGCGGTCGTGGTTCTCGCCGCGGGCGCGTGCGCGAGCCTGTTCGTGCGCTACGTGCTCGGCGACGACTTGGACGGCATGGTCTGGCGCTCCATTGCGGTCGAGGCACCAGCTTACTCAGAGTATGGATTCGGGCTTTTCGTGATCCATCTGAGCGCCGCAGGGGTACGCGTCATGTTTACGGCCTTCCGACACCACCAGTGCTTTCACGAGACTATCAGCGCCAAGCTCTCCGCCGCGCAAAAGGCGCGGGGCGCGCACGGAAGAGGACCTGGGTCGGCGGCGGCGCTCGCTGTCAAGGGGTGGAGGCTCCTGGGCAGGATAGAAGCGGGGTCATTTCCCTGGAAGTTCATCATCAGCATTACGAAGAGTAGCCCGAATGGGCGCTACGCGACGGAGATCGCCCCAGCACAGGTGGCCTTCATCCGTTGGTTTCAGCCTTTTTGGAGGCCGCGTTGCGCCGAGGAGAGCGATCAAGACCTGCTCAAGCTCCACTCGGACCTCTTCTCGAGCGCATGTGAGACGCTCTGCTACTCCTGCCTGCTCCCATGGCTCGCGATACTAGTGCTGCCTCTGCCGCGCGCTGGTGAAACCACTCAGGGCTCGCAGCTGCCGCCCCTGTACGTCAGCTTCACCGCGGCGTTCTGTGCGACGGTGGCGGCCGCATTCGCTCATCGGTCTCTGCGTCGCGGGAGCCGGCCCGACGTCGGACTGCTGAAGCAGTTCGTCAGCTTGCTCCACAGCGTGCTCCTCGATGGAGCGTGCGTGCTGGCCGCCATTCTGGTGCCGCTGCTGCCCAACGGCGTGGGCCAGGCTGCGACTCCAGTCTTCTCCCTGCTTGGCCTCGCCCTTCTGTGGGGCTGCGCGCCGCCCAAGCAGGAGGCGATGGCCATGTGCGGCGTCTGCGGATGCCGCCCTGCGACACACACGTGTGTCCACTGCGACGTGGTCATGTGCGTGGGGTGCCGCGTTCGTGTGCACACGCGCCCGGCAAACATGAGGCAAGCCGGGAAGCGTGCCCCGGCAAGGCTCACCCCGTGGAAGCACTCGGCCGACGTCACGCATGGCGTCGACTCTCGCTATCTCGAGTGCCGGCCCTGCACGCCTGCTCGACTAGTCGTGCGGGCGCGTGTCGAGCGGGTGGTGGCGGCGGTCGAGGACGACGCCGACGAGCTCGAGGCCGAGGCAAGCCCGCAGGCGTTTCTCGGCGACCCGGCGGCGTCGCACGCGCGCTGCTTCCCGAGCGACGAGGCGCAGCGCTTCGCCGACGCGGTCGAGTTCGCACAGACCTCAAAGATCATCCAGCAGAACGATGACGCCAACGCGCTGCTCCTCGGAGCGGTCAAGTCAAGCACCCGGGCTGTCCGCTCGGCGTCGGCGCTCCTCGCGACCACTGTCTTGGGATATCTCCTTCTCGTCTTCATCGCGGGCAAGTTTGAGTTCCTCTTGAACGCCATCTCGATCGCCTTCGCCTTTTACTTCGTTCTCCCCGTCGCCCTCACCCTCGCCCTCGCTCCTTTGAAGCCGAAGGCCCTCCCCCTCCTCCTCCGCATCGCCCTTACGTTCGCCGTCGCCGTCGCCGAGGCCGCCGCAGTTCCCTCCATCGTAAATGCGGCCAGCTTTGCAAACACCTTCGCCGCCTCCGTCCTCCACGCCACCTTCCGCCAGTATTGGGGTGTGTCAGGGTCCTTGCTCCTCATGGCCATGATGTGGCTGCTGGCCGAGCTGCTCCCGCCGCTCGCCACGAAGCTGCGCGGCGCCGTCGCGTGGCACGCCGGCTCTTGCTGGGTCGGCAAGTCGGGGCGGGCCAAGAGCGATCAGCTGCAGCCCCTCCTCGCGACCAACCGCTCGACGGCGGCGGGCGGCGGGCTCGGGAAGAGGCAGGGCGTGAGATTGCCTTTCGGCGACGACGGCGCGGCGCGGATTCGCGTCCAAGTCTACGAGGTTCTGCCGTACGACGAGGAGGCGTCCCTCCTGCTCGAGCGCTCGCTGGAGCTGCTGCCTGGCGACGGCCCGTTCCAGTCTCGGCTGGCCTTGCTGGCGCCTGGGCACGGGGAGGGCGTCGTGGTCGAGCAGAGTCTGGACGGCGATGCGGGAGGCGCTCGAGTCGGGGCGCACCAGAACTACACGCTCTCGAAGCCCGACTGGTGGGAGGTGACCATCCAGCCGCAAGCCACCGCGAGCCGCGCCGCCGACAGCACCGCGATCGTCCAGGCGAGCAGCCTCCGCCAGCGGTTCGTGTGCTCGCTGTGGCTCCGCCTCTCGCTCACAGACTGCTGGCGGCGCAACTTGCGCGTCCGCGCACGCCAGCTGCAAGAGCTGCCGCGACTGAGCGTTGCCGGCGTGTGTGCCTCTCTCCGCTCCGCCGCCCACGCGGCGGTGGCCACGCCTCGCGCCGTCGGCCGGACAGTTCGCTTCGTCGTCACGTCGCTGTCGAAGCTGCCGGGCGCAGCTGAGACGCCGCAAGAGGCCGCGGTGAAGGCGGTCCGCAAGCGGCAAGCCAGGGCCGCCGCCGGCGGAGTCGTGACGGGCGGCGGCGGCGAGGAGCTGAAGCTGCTGACGGGAGTGGCGGCTGGCGACGTGCCGTCCTGCACCGCGATTGTCGACTATGCGGGCGAGGCGTTCACTGGCGTCGGCCTCGGCCCCCCCAACCAGCTGCAGCGGCCGCGAGTCGTTGAGCTCGCCTCGCCGGCCGAGCGGCGCGACGAAGAGCTTCACCCTGGCTGGGCAAAGCTCAAGGTGGCTTGCTCCACCCCTCGCCGCCTCTCTGCTGCCGCCGCCTGCTCCGCCACCCCAGCCACCGCCGCTGCCGCCGCAGCCGCCTCAGCTGCCGCCGCTTGCGTGCAAGAGGCTGCCGAGAGGCTGCCGAGAGGTGCCTCACCTCTGCCTCTGGGCCGTCAGGTGACGTGGACGCCGAAGCAAAAGTACAGGCGGCCGGTCTCGTACTACCTCTGCCACATGCAAGCTAGCTGCGACCCGCAGGGCGCCGTCTGCTACAAGGGGACCTTCGCGGGCTGCATCGTATACGCGGAGCCGGGGCAGCGGTGGTCCTTCTTTGTGCAGGTTTCTCCCCCACAACGTGTTGGTCACTGGGGATGTTGGGGTAGGCACTATCAACCACCCTCGCCGCCGCCCTCTCCCCGCCGCCCTCGCCGCCCTCGCCGCCCTCGACCCCCCCCCCCCCCGTCCCTCCTCCCGGCACCCCCTCCCCCCCCTCCCGGCAGGCGGGCAATGTCGCCGGGCCGTCGCCGCCCTCGGAGCCCACGCACCACACCGTGCGGCAGCTCGAGGAGGGGCAGGGCGAGGAGGCGAGGCGCGCGGAGCTCAGCGAGGGGGAGCGGCGCGTGCACCTCGAGCGGAACACGCTGCACCGCGCGCTGCGAGACAAGGACCCGGACGCTGCTCGGGCGGCCTTGGGCGAGCTCCGCGCGCTTCGCGGGTCGGGCGAGGAGGTCACGGACCTGGCACGGCTCGAGGAGAAGGCGAGGAGCAGCCTCATCTTACCACACCTCACGCACACACACCTCACGCCCCACGCATGCACACGCACACACACACACACGCACACACACGCACGCACACACACACACCCTCCCTTGCCTCAGGTGGGGCAGCTGGCGGAGGCGGAGGCGATGAGGGCGATGCAGGCGGTTCGCCGGAGGGCGGCCCGGGCCGAGGAGGAGCGGCGCCGGGCCGAGGAGCAGCAGCGGCGCAAGGCAGAAGAGGAGGAGGCAGCAGCGCGGGGGGTGAGGGAGGCGGCAGAGAGGGAGGAGAGGAGGCGGCGGAAGAAGCTGGAGGCCAGGGCGAAGAAGGAGGCCAAGGAGCGCGCCGCCAGAGAGCTGGCCGAGAAGCTCCGGGCGCTGTACCGGGCAGCGCTCGGCTGCTCAGGCGGCGGAGACGGCGGCGAGGCGCGGGCGGAGGAGTCCCTCGCCCGCGCGCTGCTCGCGGCGGACAAGGAGATGGCGGACCCGCACAGCCCCGTCTCTCAGAGTGCTCTCGCAGAGCTCGCCCCGGACCTGTCCAGCCTGCGCCTCGCTGCAGAGGAGCGGAAGCGAAGCCTGGCGAGCCGCCGCGAAGCGAGAGCGGCGGCGGCGGCGGCGGCGGCGGCGGCGGCGGAAGCGGCGGGAGCGGCGGCGGAAGCGGCGGCGGAAGCGGCGGCGGAAGCGGCGGCGGTGGCGGCAGCCCAGGCGGCGGCGGCTGCAGCGCAGCGAGAGCAGGAGCGAGCGGAGGAGCGTGCGGCGACGCGGGAGGGTCAACTGTCCCGGCGGGTGGCGCGGTGCGAGGAGACGATGGGCTTTGTCGGCGCAGGGTCTGACCTCGCTCCACGCGTCGACTGGCTGGAGGAGGAGACTAGCCGAGACTAGTCGAGATCAGCCGAGACTTGCCGGGATGAGCCGGGACTTGCTAGAGGAGGGCGAGCGAGGGGAGGCTACTTCATCGGTGTGCGACGAATGGATAGGACGTCCTCGGCCTCGCGAGCGAAGGGAGCCTCGAGGAGCGGCTCGGCGCTGTCGAGCGGCTGCTCGAGCTCGAGCCGTTCGAGACGTTGGCAGCAGAGCCTCCAGCAGAGCCTCCAGCAGCGGCGCCTCCGCCTTCACCTGCACCTGTGCCGGCTCCAGTGCCGGTGCATGGGGGGCGCGTCGCCGCCAGCCCGGGTCGTGGCGGGCGCGGTGGGCGGGGCGGGCGGGGCGGGCGGGGTGGCGGCAGCAGCAGCGGAGGCAGCGGAGGCAGCGGGGGCAGCTCGCCCGACGCAGACCAGCTGCTCCGCCAGGCGGCTGATCTCGGCTGGTCTCGGCTCACTTCGGCTGATATCGGCTCACCTCGGCTCACCTCGGCTCACCTCGGCTCACCTCGGCTCACCTCGGCTCACCTCGGCTCACCTCGGCTCACCTCGGCTCACCTCGGCTCACCTCGGCTCACCTCGGCTGATCTCGACTCACCTCTACGTCTCCTCCGCTAGGCGGCGCCACCTCCCGCCGGCGCCCGCCAGGCCGAACGCTGGCGCGCGCCGATGTCTCCCCGGCCCTTTCCTCCCACGGCCTGTCTCGTCTCCACAGGCCGTGCGAGTGCCGTTCGACGAGCTCGAGGAGGCGACAGCCTCCTTCGCGGACGAGCGGCTGGTTGGCGTCGGTGGCTTCGGTCGCGTCTACTACGCCCCTCGCCTGCCGTCGCTAGCTGCCACGAGGGCTGCCGAGCAGCGCCCCGCCGCGCTGGAGTGGCTGGCCTAATGATCACTACTTACTCCATTAGGATGCCGAGCTTCCCGTCGCGGTGAAGCGGCTCTTCGTCGACGGGCAAGAGTCCGGCCGACCCGCGTCCGAGGTGCGCTCTCTCTCTCTCTCTCTCTCTCTCTCTCTCTCTCTCTCTCTCTCTCTCTCTCTCTCTCTCTCTCTCTCTCTCTCTCTCTCTCTCTCTCTCTCTCTCTCTCTCTCTCTCTCTCTCTCTCTCTCTCTCTCTCTCTCTCTCTCTCCCTCTCCCCCCCCCCCCCCTCTGCGCTGGGAGCTCGACGCAGTAACACTAAGAACGTGATCCATCATTCCTCAGGTGCTGCGCTCTCTGCGCGAGGAGCTCGACCTGCTCTCAAAGTGCCGCCACCCGAACCTGATCCAGCTCCTTGCTCACTGCGACGACCCGCGCGGCCCCTGTGCTATCTACCCGCTCGCACGCGGCGGCTCGTACGAGGACAGGCTCGTCAGCACTCTGCCGGGCCGCAAGCGTCTCGCCACCCTCGGCGCGCCTTCCGAGCCGCTCTCGTGGAAGGCGCGGCTGCGGCGCCACCTTGGCTAACCTCGGCTACTAATGTACTAATGACATCGGCTCACGGCGGCGCATCTCGGCGCACCTCTCGCCGCAGGAGCGGCTCTGCGTGCTGCGCGACGCCACCAGCGCGCTCGTCTACCTGCACACGCCCTCCGCCGCCAAGCCGTGGACGGCGCTGCACGGCGACATCAAGGCGAGCAACATCCTGCTCGAGCCTTCTAGGAACCTCCTAGGAACCTCCTAGGAACCTTCCTAGGCGAGCAACATCCTGCTCGAGCGGGGCGGGCGGGCGGTGCTCTCCGACGTCGGCATCGCAAAGCAGCGGCAGCTCGACGCCGCCGCCACCGGCCGCACCTCCACCCTCATCAAGGGCACGCCGTCGCATCTCGACCCGGAGTACGTGCGGACCGGCGAGCGCACCCCCGAGACGGACGGCTACGCGCTCGGCATGGTCCGTGCTGCCGCCCCTCCCCAGCCTCGTACTCACTCACTACTGGCGGAGCGTCTGGTTCCTCGATGAGCAGGTCGTGCTGCAGTCGCTGACCGGTCTCGACCTTCGCAGCTGCGGCTTCAGGGAGGCCAAGCCGCTCCTGCAGGATCCGGGCTCGCCCGAGCGGTGGGCGGCGAGCCGGCGCGACCCAAAGCCGAGAGAGCGGGGCAGCCATCGAAGGGCGGGCTGTGAGTAGGTGGGCAGCGAGCTTGCTCGACCCGAGAGCCGGCTGGCCGATGCAAGTCGCCGCCGCCCTCGCCGGACTGGTCACCCTCTCGTTCGAGCGCTGGCTCGGCCCGCGCTCCGCCCCGCATTCGACGGGTCCCTGATCAGGTGCACGGCCTCTCGTACGAGCGCTGGCTCGAGGACCGGATGCCGTGCGAAGAGGCGGAGCGGCGGCTGGAGCATCTCGCGCGCGAGGTTGGCATCGAAGCCGTGCAGGCGGACGAGCTGCTGGCGATCAGGGAGGCGCCCGCGTCAGCTGATGAGTTGGCCATCCCTAGTCAGGTTGAGGACGCGGCGGGCAGGCAGGCGCTCGACGCAGCGGGTGCTGGCGCAGGCGACGCTGCGCAGCCTCCGAGGGTGCAGCCCTCGACTTCACCCCGGCGGTCCTTGGTGGAAGAGCGATTGTCTACTGCCATACTCCTCCTGTCTGTAGGCGGAGGAGCGCTCGCTCTGCTTAATCTGCGAGGAGTGGCCGCACACGGTCCGCTTCTATCCTTGCGGCCACGCGTGTGTCTGCACCAAGTGCGAGCCGAAGGCGCGCGCTCACTTCAAGGACTGCTGCCCCATCTGCAAGTCGCCGATTTGCTCCGTCGAGCGCGGCGATCACGTCGGCAATGCGCCCACGTACGTTTTCCGCCGCTGAGACTCGACTGCCACATACGGTCCCGCACTCTGCAGTCTGCGCTCTGCACTCTCTGTGTCCACTCTCTACGTCACGGCTCCACGCACCAATACGCGGCGGACTACGAACGTGGTACACGGTGCGCTCTGCACACCGCGCACACACAGTCGAGAGTAGCCAGTACTCTACACCGCTCTCTCTGTCTCTTGGGATTTACCACAATTCCATGTTTGTCTCCGCTTTGAGACATTGAGAGTCGGCACGCGGCTGCTGGGCCTTTGATTCCGTGGCCCGTGCGCCGGTCTGGCCCTGCCAAAGCCGCACAAGAGTGCGGCCTGCGTTGATGAGCGTGAGCGTGAGCGGCCGCCGGGGCCGGTTTGGACTGTGTTTGGGGGGGTGGAGGGGTCCGGTGGCCAGTGTGATGGTCGTTTATGGCCCTCCTATCACCAACTTACCGCCCCCAGCCGTGGGGGCCTCTCCAGACGCCGCCATTTATGATTTCAAAGGGTCCTGCCGACGCTCATCACAGTGCGGCGGAAGGCCGGAGCCGGCGCCGCGGAGGACGAGGATGGCCGTGGCGGACCGGGACGAGCTCTGGGAGGTACAGTGTCAATCTGTATATTGTAGAGACAGAGCATGCGCACAATATATCTCAGTCTAGCTAATTCTGGAGAGGAGATGCCGAGGCCGTACAGCAGCTTGATGGTGCTGCGCCGGCGTGCGTCCCGCCGGCCGCCGGGGCCGGTTTGGACTGTGTTTGGGGGGGGGAGGGGTCCGGTGGCCGGTGTGATGGTCGTTTATGGCCCTCCTATCACCGCGCCTGGGGCTTCCTCTGTGTTCCTTTTATTACCCATCTCATCGCCAATCTTGCCGCGAGAAGGCTCTGGTCATTGCCGAGCGAGAGCCGACGGATAGGTGCTGGGATCGGGTGCATCGCTGTTCGCTCCCTCGACCTCTAGACAGTCGCGGATCTAGATATAGACCCAGCGCACAACCCGGAAGCAGAGACTCAGTGCTTCTTCCCACCGCGCGTCGCCGCGGGCGCGGCGGCTGGTGGGCATGGCACGTACAGGATGATGGCCTGACCCACCCCACAGCGTCCTGCGAAAGCCGTACTAACGCCGTGTAAGTTCGTTTTCGACCTCTCTTGGAAGAGGAGCGCAGCTAGCGCGACACTATAGCACTTAGCAGACTATTGTCTATTGTCGAGCGCGCGTCGGAGAGGTGTTTGCATTGCCTCCCTGCGAGCCTGCGTCTCTTCACTCCCCCCTTAGTCACGGTACATACATTATCACGGGAGTGGGTGCGCACCGGCCATTCCCGAGAGGTCCCGCGGATAACATCCACCCGGACCCTCTGTCGGCAATGTGCGATACGCTAGGATGGGGCCGCCTCGGCGGCGTACGTATGCGAGAGGCGGGATTCGAAGCTTCCGCTCGCCACCCTCTCCTTCCCCCTCCTTCCCCTTTACACCCACCCTCCCCCAGGGAAGGTGTCCGCCGGGGGGTTGACGGCTCTCGCGCTGGCGCGCGCCTCCGCGTCATGCAACCTCGGCCCCAACCTCGGCCCCAGCCTCGGCGGGCTCCACGTGCTGCGCGTGGTAGGCGCCCGCCGCCGCCTGAGGAGCAAGCAGCGAGAGGTGGAGGAGGAAGAAGAGAGAAGTGGGACGGGCAGAGCGCACGCGGGGGGGGGGGAGGGGGGAGGAGAGGGGGGGGGGGGGGAAAGGGCCACGAGGGACCCACAG